AAACACTCTAAAGGAAAACTACTGTTCTACACAGATCTTAATTTGGGCTTGCTCATTCCAAACCCACTACAAAAAGGGCCGGCTTTCTCCTCAGGCCTCACACCTGACAGACGGTTAGTGGAGCAAATACTAAGCAAACTGGGTTACCCGAGCGGTGGCACTAGCAGTTCTCGTGGGAAGTTCAGAATACTGATAATCTGACTTTCATATTCAGGCCAAAGAGGGCAAAAAGTTTTCAGGTTCCAGACTGAACCAACCTGACTTTGTAACAAAGTCTTTCTGCTGGGCTTCCTTGTAAGTGAGACACACTTAGCATCACAGGAGGCCGCAGGAAGAGACCTAGCGCCAGCGATCCTCATCTTACGGTGAGGCCCAGCAGTGGCTACCCCAGCACGTGTCTCCTACCCCAGCACGTGTCTCCTACCCCAGCACGTGTCTCCTACTCGCCTTCTCACATGCCACACAAGCTGCTCAGACAAGAGCCTAGGGCACAGGAAAAGAGCAGCCCCGATTACCACCACTGTCATCACGTGGGCCAGCAGTCCACAGGCGGTGCACAATGCCAAGGTCAGGTGCACTCCAAACAGAGAGCCGATACAACAAAATCGACCTTTGCCACAGTTATCTTAACCCCACAGGTTTTAGGGCAGAGCACTGTGAAAAAAAAAAAAAACAAAAAACAGGCCCCATTTCACTTCAAGTCCTCTGGGACCAAGCATTCTGTTGCTCAACAAGGAGCTACTGGCCTGTAGGGAAAAGATATCTGGCTCACCTTAGCCAGTGTCTACAAATCTTACAGGGCAGAGGACATGATAAATGAGGTTTACTCAACCCGTTGCCTTCAGTCATTAACCAACAATTATGATTGCCTAATGTAAGTATGACTCCCAAGGGAAGTTCGTACTTACTCGGACCGCACCGCTGTCTAAAAATTAGGGAAGTCTAATTAGATACATTCTGATGAAAAGCAAAAGCATCTTCTACTTACAGTTAACAATAAACAGTCAATTACATGCAGCAAACTATGATCCCCTATAACTCCTAAGGCCACATGTTGGTTCTTGGTCCATTCCTTTTGGATGGCACGCACTGTGCCCGCGGCAGGCAGTAGAGGAAAGCTTTTGAAAGCCTGTCTTGGGTTAACTTGTGCTATGGTTCTGTCTCTGAATCTTTCTAGCCACCCTTCAAAGAAGAGTATCTGGAGCCTTCAAATTTTCAATAGCCAATGGGAATGAGCCAATCGCCCTTGGGCTGTGCGGCTCCCAGAGAGGTAGCCACACGGCACTCAGTGATACAATATGAACTGTTTGCCACTGTTGCTAGCTCATGTTGAGGCTGTGTAATGACGAGGCCAGGAGCCAGGGTTAAACGGTAAACCCCACATTATGCCTCCCAAAATACACAACAGAGGGACCAAAAGGACAACATGAGCTGTGCCCATGACAGAATCACAAAAAATAGGCATAGTGCAGGGCTGGATATGATACACCCACGGGGAGAAGAAAGCCGTCAACCAAGGCTTCAAGGTGGGGAGGTGCAGTGGACATGGACTCTGTAAAGGTCACCCATTGTGACCCAATCCAACTTACACTGTTCAATCATTAAAACCTGAGGTGCTCACAGGCCTTCCTTTGACCCTCTGGCCATTAGTGTTCTCTGGGCACTGTCTGACTTTGGTCTTCATAACGACAGTCCCTTCTTGTTCTAGGCTTACCCTTCCTCCACCATTGTCTCTCCTCTTCTGCCTACACACTGCAGACAGAACAGCAGTTTGTCCCCTCCCCAAGGGACCATGGACTCTCCCACTTCATTCCCAAATGACTGCAAATCTGTCATTAGTCCCTACTTGGGTATTCCCCCTGGACATCAAAAAGCTCCTTCAAGCTTTAAATGCACAAAACTAAATTCATTTTCCTGTAGGGGGGCGGGAAGAGACAATCACAGATCCTTAGAGAGTCAACTGGGGGCACCGCTGACACACCACACAGCGATGAACTAACCCCCTAGCAACTCTGACAAGTTGACATGTTATTCCTTGACACGGTTGGAATGTGACCATCCAAGAGGTCTGCAGAGCTAGGAGGAAAGAAGTCAGCTGCCAGCCTGGGCTCTGCTGCTTTGTGCCATCAGAGGGCACAACAAAGGAGGGCGCAGGGTCTCCCAAGCTGCCCTCTGACTTCCAGATGTACCCTGACACACTCACACAAAACAATTAAATGAACGAATAGGTTTAAAGTGCTGGCACCATAGGCGGCTTCGAGATAGCATTCTAAAGCATACGGCGGGTGGGAGGGGGCATTTGAAATAAAAAGATACCTTGTTAGGCATGGTGGCACACACCTTTAATTCCTGCATGCAGGAGACAGAGGTAGGTGGAACCCCATGAGTTCCAAGACAGCCAGGGCTGTCTCAAAAAGGGGGGAAAAACCCCTCTTTGGTCCCTTGAACATTAAACTTTATTTATTCCTTGTCTTATTCGGAGAGTTTCTGAGGCAATCATACATCACAGGGCAGCCCCACCATCACCAGCCCACCACCCAGTTAATACTCACCATGTTCGCATCAATGACCTGACCCTGGCCAGAACGTGTGCGTTCCAAGAGAGCGAGCACAATGCCCAGTGTGCACATGAGGCCACCACCACCAAAGTCAGCCAGGAGATTCAAAGGTGGGTATGGGTTCTCCCCACTTTGGCCAATCTTTGACAGAACACCTGCGCCATGGACAACAAATTGAATGCCCCTTTTAAATAAACACACGAGCATCTTCGAGGGATAACCGATTTTTATAATCATAGACCTAAGTGAAAATGGTACACGGTGCTCTTCAAACTATGAATCCATTTGGCTTAACTTTTCCTCTGCTAAACTGTCTTAGAGTCAGGCGGGGTGGCACAGCCCTGCAAACCCCGCACTCAGGTGACTGAGGCAAGCAGATCTAGATTTTTAGCCTGGGCTATACAGCGAACTCCCCCAGCATAATACATAAATGAGTAAAAACAAGAAGATCACTGCAACTGACATTTTTAATATCTTATTAAAGTTCTCACTAAGTTTAAGAGAAAAAAAATTACTGTCAATTTGTTTCCTGGCTTTAAAGCAGTACAATACACTTTCATGTTTTATCAAAAGGAGATGTAAGAAAAATAGAGTCGGGCCATTCTAACGCATGTTCTCACAGGCATGGATCCCAATGGAGTGATGGAGATACCTGAAAACTGTGGGCTTTTCACAGAAGCCTGAAGTGGTGGCTCAAAAGGATTCTTGGTGAGGGAATGTAAGAATCAAGCTTCACCAACTTTCCCAAAACGTAGAACGGTCATCCATCTTATTACCTTGTTCCTCACCCCTCGTAGGTGCCTTTCTGAAAACTGACTTCCCAATCGTAGAAAACAGGTGTTACTAGTGATTATCACCCATCAAATCAGCCGGGGGGCGGGGGCACAGGTAAAGCTTTAAAATGACAGTTCTAGGAACTCAAATCAACCTGTTTTCAACAACCACGTTCTCTTTGCCAGTTCCAACAAGTATTTCTATCTTTACACTTTAAAGTTCTTGCTAATCAGGGCTGGGGGCTAGAGAGATGGCTCAGTCATTCAGAGTGTGTGCTGCTCTAGTAGAGGACTCCAGCTCAGTGCCCAGCACCCACACAGAAGGGCTCACAACAGAGACCTGTGACCCTAGGTCCAGATGCTCCAGGACCCTTTTCTGGCGTCCAGAGGCATGTACGCTCACACTCATATATCCACATGCATACACACAATGAAAAAATAACGAATAGTTTTTAAACCCTTGTCAATCAACGGAACTGCACTTCCTGATGTTGAAGCCAATCCCAAGGGTTTTCAAAAAGCAGTTCCCACATACCTGACAAAGCCAAATAGTTGATATCATGGCCAGCTGCCTTGGAGAAACTTCCCGACTGGCCGAATCCACTCAGTCTGGCATAGATGAGCTTTGGATTGTCTTTCAGTAGGGTTTCTGGCCCAAGCTGAAGCTTCTCCATGACACCTTTAGAGAAAAGTCATCAATTGTTTGGGGGTTTTTGTTTTTAAAGAGAGCACGAGACAGAGATAATCCCTTCTACAGGGAAAACTAAAAGTGTGCTCATGCAAGTAACACTAACAAGAGTTGCTGTAATTTTGATTAAAGCTGTCATAATTAAGAGTCATTTGGACCACCCTCATCTTCAAATGGGGCACTTTAATGCTATGATATAATCCTAAATGTTACCGTTACTGTCCTCAGATATGCCTGTGAAGACTAAAAGTTGTTACATATAAATACACCTGGTGCCCCATCCCCACTCCGTTCATTGTCCATCTTCCACCAGGCAGTGTCACTAAGAGTGTTTAGCAAGAGTGGCTAAATCCGCGATCTATGGAAACACAGGTGCATGGGATACTCTGGACTAATAATACAGGAGGAAAGACCATTTTTAAATGGATGGAGAAAGACTTGACTCGGTTTGTGACCGTTGCAAGTGCCTGTGGACAGCCAGATGGGGGTGTACGTCACCAAGTATGCAAGTCTACAGCTCGAAAATGGTGTCTGTAGAGCAAACAGTGTCTTTGCAAGGCCCAAAGTAAATGAAGTGATCTCGAAGTCGGAGTTTAGGAATATCATCATTCAGGGAAAGGTTAGCACGGACTGTGGTTAGCTTTAGAGCACATAGGCATACCAACATGTCAAAGGGTCAGTGGCAATATTCCAATGAGTTGGAGTCTCAAACGGTTCAAGGCCCCCAGAGAATAAGGGCAGATGTAGAAGAGCTTTTAGGGTCCAAAAAAAAAAAATTAAGCAAATTAAAAGCCTAAGGAACCAGAGAGGCACTGAGTAAGGAGCCAGGAGAGAAGGGCGAACTCGCGGCGCGGCTCACCACAGCGGAAGGGCTCCAGCAGCACGTCCGCGCTTGCGCACATGCGCCGCAACACGGCGGCTCCGCGCGGCTGCTTCAGGTCCAGCACGAGCGAGCGCTTGCCCCGGGCCAGGAGGCTCACGTCTCCCGCGGACCCCGGCCGGTCGACGCGCACCACCTGAGCTCCGAAGTCCGCCAGGATCATCCCGCAGAACGGCCCGGGGGCCAGGCCCGCCAGCTCCAAAACCCTGATGCCACGCAGCACCATGGCCAGTCCCGCAGCGACAGCCGAGCGCCCCAAACTCCCACCGGCCCTGCATCATCTCTGACCCTGCACCCCGCCTCCCTCACGCGCCTGCGCGGGGGCGCCCGAGAGGCTGTGCGCTTGCGCACTTCCCGCCTACCCGCGGTAGACCCAGGCTAAACTTTAGCCTGTGGTTTCAGTTAATGGTTTAATTCGGGTGCCAATGTTAAGTCCTTGACCTTGAACTCTGGCTTCCGCCAAACCTACCTGGAATCGCTGCTCCCATCCCCTACAAGTGACTAAAGGTACTGTAAGCCCTTCATTATTTAGAGCAATATAAGAAGGCAAGCACATATCCTTCCATACGCCACAGGGTGTCTCCCTTGCTGTCCTGAAAACTGTTTCCTTCCAATAACAGTTTGAAAACCCCTCCTAGACACCCTAAGATTTAAAGGGAAGGCCTGGGGGTGTAGTTCAGTTGGTAGACTGAGTGCCTAGCATGCATAAAGACCAGTGCCGCTTAAAATACCCTTGGTGTGGACTCCTATAACCCCAGCATTTAGGAGTCTGGGATATCAGAAGTATTGTTCAACCTGGGCTGAGTGAGAGCCTTAAAAATGGTTTTAGTTTGTCAGCTGTTGGTTTTATGGACAACTACAAGTTCGAGTTAGAAACTCTTTTTTCAACCTTTAAAAAAGTACGGCAAACAATCAAATACCCTACCCACATTTACGGGTCATATTACCAGTAGTGGTGGAGACTGCCTGTAGGTGGCCAAATGCAGTTTCTTTTTCTTTTTTTAATTTATTTATTTATTAAAGATTTCTGTCTCTTCCCCGCCACCTCCTCCCATTTCCCTCTCCCTCCCCCAATCAAGTCCCCCTCCCTCGTTAGCCCAAAGAGCAATCAGGGTTCCCTGCCCTGTGGGAAGTCCAAGGAACCCCCACCTCCATCCAGGTCTGGTAAGGTGAGCATCCAAACTGCCTAGGCTCCCACAAAGCCAGTACATGCAGTAGAATCAAAAACCCATTGCTATTGTTCTTGAGTTCTCAGTAGTCCTCATTGTCCACTATGTTCAGCGAGTCCGGTTTTATCCCAGGCTTTTTCAGATCCAGGCCAGCTGGCCTTGGTGAGTTCCCGATAGAACATCCCCATTGTCTCATTGTGTGGGTGCACCTCGCGGTCCTGAGTTCCTTGCTCATGCTCTCTCTCCTTCTTTTTTTTTTTTTAATTTATTTATTTATTAAGGATTTCTGCCTCGTCCCCTCAACCGCTTCCCATTTCCCTCCCCCTCCCCCGATCAAGTCCCCCCCCCCCCTCATCTGCTCGAAGAGCAATCAGGGTTCCCTGACCTGTGGGAAGCCCAAGGACTGCCCACCTCTATCCAGGTCTCGTAAGGTGAGCATTCAAACTGCCTAGGCTCCCACAAAGCCAGTACGTGCAGTAGGATCAAAAACCCACTGCAATTGTTCTTGAATTCTCAGTATTCCTCATTGTCCGCTATGTTCAGCTAGTCCGGATTTATCCCATGCTTTTTCAGACCTAGGCCTCTCTCCTTCTGCTCCTGATTTGGACCTTGAGATTTCTGTCCGGTGCTCCAATGTGGGTCTCTGTCTCTGTCTCCTTTCATCGCCTGCTCAAGGTTAATATTCAGGAGGATGCCTATATGTTTTTCTTTCGGTTCTCCTTATTTAGCTTCTCTAGGATCACTAATTATAGGCTCAATGTCCTTTGTTTATGACTAGAAACCAAATATGAGTGAGTACATCCCATGTTCCTCTTTTTGGGTCTGGCTTACCTCAAATGAGCCCTAGGAAACTGAATAAACCGAGAGAGACACAAATTCTATAAAACTCTGGCACCTATTCTTAGCAAGTGAGGCAGATAAGAAAAGCAAAGGCGAAATGCTACATAATTGTAGCCAAAACTCTTTTAACCAGCTGCTGAATTTTAAGATACTTCTGGGCAGGGGGATCTGTGCTCTCCCAGAGTGAGCTGCCTCCTGCCTAGGGCAGGCATCCTCTGCATGATCTCCAATGCTTCCCTCTGGTCAGTTGCTGTTTCGCGTGTCTACCTTTGTTCCAGCCTAAAGTTTCCTATTATCACCGCTTACTTTCTGTGCATTTTGAAAAACTGGAAAGGAAAGAGAGAATGGCAAACCCTGGTATGGCTGGCTTCCACACGGAGATAGTAGCATTTTATTGGAGTTGCTTCTGTTTTTCTGAAAAACCTGGTACAGATGTGGCTTGAGCTTACATATAGAATCATAGTCACATGAATTGAAGGTCTTAACCAGTACCATACTTTACAAATCATTTCAAAGTACTGAGTTATCCAGAGGCCCAGACAATGTACTAAGAAATCACAACCCTCCAGATCTTTCCTCTGGCACAAACTGTCTTCACAAAGTTAATCAGAGGAAACAATAATCTAAAATTTTTGGTATGGTGTCAAACAGCTGTCATCCCAGCACTTGGGAAGTAGAAGCAGAACTATCAGAAATTCAAAGTCATCCTTGACTATATATAGCAAGTTCAAAGCCAGCCTGGGCTACATGAGACCCTGTTTCAAATCAACCACAACAACAATAAATAAACAAATAAAATATAGATGCAAACAAAAAACCTCCTAAATCAAAAAGATTAAATATTTAAGAAGCATTGTTTTATACTTTTTTTATTGGTATGGATGTTTTGCCTGCATGTATATCTGTGCACCATGGGCAAGCCTGGTACCTGCAGGGCCAGAAGAGGTTGCTGTATCTGAGGATACAACAGTTCCCTGAGAGAACTGGAGTTACTGGTGGCTGTAAGGTGCCACATAAGCACTAGGTAACAAACCTCTAAAAACAAAAAGAAACAAACAAACAAAAACCCTCTTTGTGGGAGCCTAGAGGGTTTTTTTTTGTTTGTTTGTTTGTTTGTTTTTAGCAAATGGAAATTCTCTGTTGGGTCAAGATAGGAAAATATGTAGAAAACTTGTCAAATGATGTGTCTTATTACTGTGTTTGAAAATAAAAGTGTAAGTCTACGGTTGTTGGTTAGTCATAGAGTGTTCGTGCTTAAGGTGATGGGCTTGAAACCCTAAACAATGAAACAATAATAAAGCCACAAATGCATACAGAAAAGGATCTGGCCCCTTGTGGTCTGTGGCTGTTGGAAGCTGCCTCACACCATGTTCCCAATTACTTTTAGCCTACTGTCCTCTGTTGAAAACTCAGAGAAGGCAGACGGAATGGTTGAGTAGCACGTATCTTGCAATGGGTAGATGTTTACCAGCTGTAGCCTGGTCCTTTGGGATTTACATTCTCATTGGAATACACATTTATTTTGGTTTAACTTTACTTTTTTTTTTCCAGTCATGTGATTGAGCCTAGTGCCTTGTCTATGCTAGGTAAGCACTCTACCTGGGCTATATCTCTAGCCCTGTTTATTTTCTAGATTGATTCAGGATCTTGCCAAGTTGCCCAAGCAGTATGTAACTTGTGATCCTCCTGCCTCAGACTGACAAGTAACTGGGATTACAGACTTACACAATCCAGTATTGCTTTTTTATTTAGACTTCAACTCTTTCTCATAATGCACTCCCTTATTTTCTTTTACTATTTCAAATAATGCAAATAGCATCTGAGAATGTTCTTAATATATAAGCTCAAATCCTAGAATACTGCGTGTGTGTGCAAGTGCACATTGAGTGTGAATATTTATTTCCATATATGCTTATGAAGTGTTTCTTGCAGCAGTTTTACCTAAGGATAGCTCAAAATCTTCTTCCAAAACACTTTCTAGGTTAGTGGGTACTCTTTTTCCTCCATACACTTAGTAGTATGTATGTTGATGGAATTTTTCTTATAAACACATTCATGAGTGTGTTTTTTCCCCATTATACTATTCCCTTACGGTTGTGGCTTTAACTTACACAGTTTGAAGTCGAGCATCAAAACTGGCCCCAGCTTTTTCCTCCTTTACACTGCCACAGGCGGATGTTACTGTCATCTTAGCAGCCTCGCTATGTGATTTTGTTCTCTCTTTCCTTTTTAAACACAGAGCTTTCCCCTTTTCACTCAAGGGGAGCGCTTCATGCTTCTCTGTGGCATGCCCAGCTTGTCAATAGCACGGCTTTGTGTTTATTGCCATCGTTGAGCAAAATAGGTGTTTCTTGAACCCAGGAGCTGAGATGTGAGATGATAACCACGACAGACACTAAGCGACAAACAGGCTGGCAACATACATAGTGTGGATATGCACAGCAGATGTTCCTATCTTGTGGTGAAAGAGTAGAGAGCATGAACCCCATTAGTCTACTCGGAATGGCATACAATTCAGATCTTATTATGAATGTCTAGGGTGTCCTACTTAGAATCTTCAGACCTCAGTTAACCACATGTATTTGAAACTTGCAGAAGACATCACCTCAGGGAAGTAACTACTGTGTATTAAGGCCATGAGCTGTAGAACCATTATTGATAAGTACTTTGATCTTCCAGTTCCCTCATGAATCACCTTCCTTTACCTACTGGTACTCTTTTGCAAGCAAGGTAGTTTCATCCTCCACAACCAAATCCATGTACAGCTCTGATAGGATGAAAATTAAGATTAAATTGTGACATGAGCATAAAAAGATTGTAGGTGTATGATGAAGACTCATCCACTCAGAGATACTCGATTCTTAAAAGGGAACTGGTACCCACAGATGTCTTAAAGGGGTGACGATATGGAGTAACTGGAAGTGGAGTCTTGTGGAGACAAGTGACCCTGCAGTTTGCACATCTCTGAGTTGCATGACTGGTAACAATGACAGGAAAATAATATTGCTTTACATTAGCCACATGAGTTACAATTATATCACAATTGTGCTTATTAAGAACAATTACAAAACAAATGTGATCACCAAAAGTTTGTTTATTTCCACATATGCTTATGCAATTTTTCTTGCTACAATTTCATCTAAAACTATGCCAGAATCTTCCTGCAAGACAGGAAGTAGTAGGTAGTGGATACTCTTCAGATATGAAATTCCTTTGGTCATTATGTCCAATATCTTATGCACTTCTGTGAGATGTTTGTGGCATTTAATTGCAGTAAAGCTTAACTTTGTGACCCCATATGCTCTGAGCATAGAACCACACACTAAATCACAAAAATACTGTCTGAGAAAGCAAATAATGACAAATAGCCTTTCACTTTAAAAGAGTGTTATATGCAGATTCACAAAGAGGTTAAACAAGTTTGTGGGTGAAAAGTATAGGGTCAAAGGTTGAACTGAACCTGGCCACCAATGAATTAGGCAATAGGACAGCCTCACTTGACTTTCATTGTCTCTAGCTGTAGGGTGATAACTTGAAGGAAATCTGTGGTTTAAATGCCTTTGCATAAGTTTAAATTGGTGTAGAAAATAAATTAAGGGTTCATTACTTTAAAGAGAATTGATGATATGGTATTTTTCATATAAGAATCTCATTAGTGCATTTTAAATACGATTTAACACCAGGGTAAACACTTTGAAGTGCTGAGCTTCAAGGAAACAAACTTGGGTGCTGAAGATGTAGCTCAGTAGAAGAGCACATGCCTAGCATGTGCAAGGCTTCAACAATACACACACACAAACACACACACACATATGTATACTTATGTATATGTGGTACTATCTGTGAGTGCTAGCTTATGGCACATTCTATGAAGGTGTTTTGATGACAATTTTAAGCCTTTTCTGATAGATTCTGGGGTGGCGAAAGTTAGTCAAAAGCCAACAAGCACCATCTGTAACATATTACTGTTTTGTGGACGTTAGTCAAGTATGATAATAAAGAAAATATTACTTTTATTGCAAACATTTAAGATGTGTTATTTTGTGTCTCTTAAATGGAATACTCTTATATTTTGCATCCATTAGTCTGCCTGTATATAATTAAGTTAATAAGTCCTTCAACATAACATGGCATACATAAAATATAAATATTTTGGGATAGTTCTCAAATTTAAAAAATGTGATAACATCTGCACTATATCAGCTTAATCTTACCTCAGCTGGTTGTACAGAGTCAAGAGAGCTCTACTGTGGTCCAAGTAATGCCATAGCAAAGACGAGATCTGGCAAGCCAGATGTGATAAGCCCAGTTCTGGATTATAAGAAAATTTTATATCTGGAAATCTAAACCATTAGAACTCAATATTAATTTGCATGTTTGTTTATGTTCTTAACAAGGAGCCAATTATTTGTGGGCATTGGAAATAATTTTACTATTTAAAAGTTATCTGAAATAACTAAAGCTTTCTTATAATTTATTCATGAACATAAGAACACAAATCCATAAAACCAAATGTTATTTCGCAGTGTAGACTTTGCAAGAATTTCTCCAGATAGGCTCTGGTAAAATAGGCTCTAATTCTCGCCCTAGCCCTGCTGTAATCAGGCTGTTCTCTTTAATGTGAAGAACAGTGAACTAGAACTTGTTTGGCTCCAAAGCTGATACTACATTTAAACAGAGCACCAAAACTCTTTGCAGATGCTTTCTTTGAGGGGAACACTTATTCCCAACCTGTATCAGGTGACAATTCCTTTAGACAGGTAGGGAAGAGTGATGAAGATGCTGAGTGTCTCCCAAGGTCATCTGGGAAGGTTACCTTGTGGTCTATTCTTCTGAGTCTCTGAAGCATCCAGCATTATTGGTATACCAGTAGAACGAGTAGCAATGTGACCAATACAACAGTTAAATATTCCATATTGATCCCCCAATTAAACTCCTTTCCACTCATAACATTCCAAGCTCAGCTACAAGTCTCCCCCAACGTGGAACTATCCTATCCTTCCTGTCACTTAGTCTCAAAGAGCAGGAAGCCTGCGAAGGTAGAGAAACGCTGGTGGTCCCCATGGAGGGCACCGTTGCCCATTCTCAGCCAGACTTCATCCCCTTTGGCCAGTTTGAGCACTGCGTGGTTGCTGGATGTGTCTGACTTCCCCTTTGTTTCGTAGCTGGAAATAAAGAGAGGGACACACTACTTAGTCTTCACCATGCAAACCCAGCCCTTGAACCCATTATGTCTCTACCTTCTCTTACGCTTTAGGTAGAGTCGTGTGTTAAGTTCTCTAAGTGGCATGCAAAAGGGAATAGCATAAATCACTTTTAGACCTGTCCAGTAGGATTACTATATAGAAGAGAGTTCCTTATCCCTATCAGACTAGAAACTTATACCCAGCATTATCTTACCAAACCTCCCTGGACTGTTAGGTGAGAAAAAAGAACAGTTCTGCTATCTTTGAATATTTACATATAATCTTTTTTTTTACAATGATTTATTTTCTTCTTGACAATCTGGAATTTGGTATTCAAGGAAGGTACTTTCAACCACCAAGATGAAAATGCACTTGCTAACAGCCAGGCAGGAGGCAATGTAGAAATAAATTCTGTGTACTGAAAAGATAAACGCTGGTGTGTGGTGGTTTGAATGGGAATGGCCCCTATCGGTTTATGTATCTGAATACTTAGTCCCCAGTTGGTGGACTGTCTAGGAAGGATTGGGGGTGTGGCCTGATTGGAAGAGTTGTGTCATTGGGGGGCTGTCTTTGAGGTTTCTAAAGCTCATGATGGCCCAGTCAGTCTTCTATTCTCATATTCATATATATTCTCTCTGTGTTTCTCTGTCTCTCTCTTTCCTGCCAAAATGTATATCAGGATATTAGCTCCCAGATACTGCTCCAGTGGCCATGCCTACTGCCGTTCCCAACACCATGATCTTTAAGAACTCAGCCTCTGAAACTGTAAGCAAACCCCCAGCTAAATGCTTTATTTTATAAGTTGCCTTGGTCCTGGTGTCTCTTCACAGCAATAGAACAATAACTGAGACCCCATGTTATGCTTGGGAGATATTTGAAAAAAGTAGGGTAACATAGACCTAGTATACAGTCACCACTTAAGATAAAGGATTTCAAAGAGGTAAATATTCTTTGCAGATTTATGATGTTTCTTTAAAAAGATGAGTTTGGAGAAGAGCCGACATGCTTGAAAGATAAATAGAGTCTAGACAATCAAGGCTCTAACAAGGTTGGAAAAAAACAAACAAATAAAAAAAAAAGGTGCTTGTATACCTGAAGAGCCAGGACAAAGCTGATGTGTTCCCATTAGAAACTTACACTCAGAGTCACACACCACTTATTTCCTCTTGGCAATAATGACTGCATTTAGAAAAGGGCAAAACAATGAAGAGCCACAAGAGTAACCGGCTGTCTAGAAGGTGTATTGGCTATCATTCACTAACATGTTCCTGACTGTGAGCCAAGAGAGCAAAGTCCTGATATGTTCTATAGAAATCCTTGCCGAAGACCCAGCCTGGGTTAGAAAGACTTGGGATATCTGTCTTAGTTCTCAGGTTTCCACTCCCTGGAAGTGGAACATGAAAAACTCTAAGACAGAATGACTTACCCTTTAGATGTGACCTTGGATAAAAGTGACAAAGAAGACCCTTCAAAAGATAGAATCAGAAGCCAAAGAGAAAATCAGCTGAAAACTGTCTTAAGAAAAGGATTGTTCATCTCTGAGTTCTGCGTTTGAACTAGTTTACGCTATCTCCCACGAAGACCAAGACAGAGAAGTGTGTCCTACGGAAGGAGGAAGAGCTGGGTGGATGTTTGGGAATAAGGAGCCCGAAAGGGTCTGGCTTTTACCAGAATTCATTGTCTCCTTGTTATGGATTTGATAGAAAATGTCCCGCACCAGCTCATGTGTTTGAACACTTGGTCCCCAGCCAGTAGAATGCTTTTGAAGGTTGTGGAACCCTTGGAAGGTGGAGGCTGGCTGGAGAAAGTAGGTTGTAACAATGCTTTCTTGAGTGGGTGTTTTTGTCACTTGGTGTGATTTCTGTGTTCTTCTACAGTCTGGCATCAGTAAGAAAGGGGAAGGATGAGTTAACTGGTAACAGCATTGTTAAGACATCCAGAACACACTGTCTGAGACATCAGAACCCTGAGCTTTCCTTGTTCCTTGTCCACTGAGGTTTGAGGGGCCCTGCCACACCAGGCTTCTGGAGAACTCTCCCATGCTGTCTTTGCTGTGATGAGCTGAGCCCTCTCAATAAACCCTCCCTTAAGTTGCTTCTTTCGGTGATGATCACAGAGATGAGAAAAGCAGTGAACGCCCTCCTACACAAGAACTGTACTAGTTCATGCTTTCCTCGGGTTGGTTAGGTAGAGCTGGGATCAGGGGGATTGAATTCTCTGAACTGAATGACAATCAAGTGTTCACTGTCTGTTCTTTCCTCCTCCTGACTCTGAAAAGGACCGTGATCGGTGAGAATTAGGAGTCAGTTTTATAGATGTCTAAGTTGCTTCATCAGCCAACATCCCTGAAAATAAAAACAAACGTAAAACAGGAGAACAGCCCCCACCCACACTGCTTTACAATGCTCTCTTCTTCCCTACCTGCCAGCCTATGTTCCCCTTTCTGGAACCCCTGCCCTGGTTGCTCAAGGTTCCGATATGACAATGTGTGCTGGATGACTAACAGCTCTGTTACCTGTTTTAACTCTTTCCCTTTCTTACAGATGCCAGACTCTAGAAGAACACAGAAATCACAACAAGTGAGAAAAAAAATACAGGGGAAAAAGAAAATAAGAGACCAAAAGTGTTTCCCTTAATTACGGGGTGGGGATTGGAGGGTGCTGGCTGTCTGCATGTCCTAGCAGCAGAGCATGATATGGTGCTGTCTAAAGCAGTATTCCCCAAGGAACTCCAGGGCCAAGGTGATAAGTATCAAAGTAATACACATCATTAGACATAAGGACCTATTCTGCCTTCCTCATCAGCAGTGAAGGCTGTGAAGACTTCTAATAGTGCCCAGCTTCAGGCAAAGCGGGAGTGGGGAAGCAGAAGAAACCAAAGGGAAGTGAGGAGTTAAAGAAAGGATCTGAGTGGTGATGGTGAGGAATGCTGCTGGCCATTTGCCCAAGGTCCCTTTACTTGATTACTGCTCTTCCCAAACAGGAGTGATAACCTGACCAAATAGAAGAGAACAAACCTGCTAGAGTACGCTCTGTGAGTGCCTAAGCGCTTCCCGTGATCAAGACGGCACGTACCTGTACATGCTGAAGACAGTATTGCCGTTGTGCATAAGGTACACGTACACCTCCTCTACGTCCTCATGCTTCATCATGCTGAAGGTGAAGAAATACACACCTGGAAAGGACAAGGGTTTCCTCATTCACTCATCCGTAGAAGATGAGTCAAGCGATTGCACACATGGCTTTGTTTTATCTGTGTATTGTCTAGTTTCATGATCTCTTCATATGAATATACTTTCGTTTGCTCCCTTAAAAGGTGCTTAGTTTTTTGGGGGGGGTGGATTTTGAAACAGGGTTTATGTGTGTAACAGTCTTGGTTGTCCTAGAACCCACTTGTAGACCAGACTGGCCTCTCTAACTCACTGAGATCCACCTGCCTCTGCCTCCCAAGTGCTGGGATTACAGGCATGTGCCAACACCGCCTTGTACTTCTATTATTTTTAACTCAATGTACTTCCTGTTTATACTTAGTAAGATGACAAAATAATTAATAAAATTATTCAAATATGTACTTAAAATGTACAACTACATTCCCCAAATGTAGCAAAGGCTACATATTAGAACACAAGTAAATGTTTCATAGTTCTAAAGAAATGGTTTGGGTCATTTCTCACATGACGCATTGTAAATCAGTAACTCTGCCACAACACCTTGTTGCTAAAAGTATATTCTTACTGATTTCCATGTTACAACTTTTGAACTACTAGCTATACAAAAGAAAAGTCCAGAAATATCTATAGGAAAAAAACTAAAGCAATGGAGCAGTCATATTTCTTTTCAAACACCTATTTCTTTCCTATGAAGATATTAGCTATAAGGATCCCTCTGATGTTGAGCCAAATTACAGAGGAAGATTATGGTTTGTTAAATGTTAGGAATGCGTATTTGATGGCAATCTGTGATGCCCATTCAGATACCAAGAGATTGGTGCAGAGAGGAAAAGTAAGAACAGATGAAAATTAAAGTTCAAGAAACAGTTTGTATGTATCTAGTGTTTTACATTTTATAGGATTTCATTTTATACACACATAACAATTATCAATGCCTGCAGAAAATAAATTTATAATCAAAATGGCAGGTAAGTACCTTAGCCTTCCTTTAAAAATGTACTGTAAAAAAAATAGATGCAGAAACACTTTAGAAAGAGCAGGCTACGAAACCAGACGGTAAATAATGGAACTCTTAGGATTAGAATTGCAGAAGCAAGCCTGTATAGTACGCACATGGGGCTCTCTCTACCAGAACCTGGTTTGGCATACTTGTGCTCTGGTTTTCAGGTCTTTGAGCGGTAACTGCAAACATCAGTATTCTCTGGCTTATCAACTTTAAAGGCGGGCTTACCACAGGGCAGGGAAATCTGACTGCTCTTTGGGCTGGAGAGGGAGGGGGAGAGGAGTGGGGGGAGGGGGAGAAGGGTGGGAGGAGGGGGAGGGAAATGGGAGGCTGGGAGGAGGAGGAAATTTGTTTTTTTTTTGTTTTTTTTTTCTCAACAAAATAACTAAAATTAAATAAAAAAAATAAAAAGAGTTTGGCAATGTTAACAAAAAAAAAAAAAAAAAAAAAAAAAAGAAAAAGAAAGCAGGCTGAGCAAGCCATGGGTAGCAAGCCAGTAAGCAGAATCCTTCATGGCCTATGCATCAGCATCGCCTCCAGGATCCTGCCCTGTTTGAATTCCTGCCTGTCTTTGATGATGAACTGTAATGTGAAAATGTAAATGAAATAAAAAGGCGGGAAAGACGATCATTAGTGTGAAACCACTGGGAAGGTTAAAAAATAAACAGTAAGTAACCGGATTTAAATTACTATTATCAGAATGGTGTCCAACCAAGGGAGCACAAAAATTTAATTATGGAGTCATTGAACTCAATGGGACCATTGATCCAAGATATCTAGACTCTTATCTGTGGCACTGGTCATGAGTTGCAAAAATTTTTACGTGAAACTTAAAGCCCTCAGAGCAAAAAGATCTCAAAACTGATATGGAGTGAAGTATGATGGAAAGACTGTCTCTGTAGTTGCACGAAGTTAGGCCATTCTTACTTTAACAGGGTGAAATAAACCAAAGCACACATTAAAAGCATATGTGTAAGTTTAACACGGCCAGCGCATTCTTAGAATATTTTCCCTGTGTATACCATGGAGGGGAACAAGGAAAAAAAACTGAAAAGCAGAAATTGAAAAACTGTCAGATTTCTGCAAAACTACGACACTGATGGAAATCAATACACTTCAAGTATGTAAAGGTGCTGCCCAACGCAGCAGGAAGCTGGACAGGGCTTCTAGGAGCAGCAGATATCAGCCCTGCCAGGAAAAAATATTCTCCCTGATGGAGAAAGGCCATTCTCAACTGTTGAAAGACAGTTCTGGGATCAGGCCTAAGAGGGCAGTTTGCTAGGAAAAAAACACAGACTACAAAAGTGTTTCTTTAGTAGCCATTACCAGGATTTGCCAGCAATAACAAGATTCCTGAAAATCAGGGAGTGTCAACGCTGCTTCAGAAGTCTTTCTCAGGAAGAATGGGGAGGAACTGTGGCCACACGGGATGAAAACACGGAGGAGCTCTGCTTAAGAATCTTGTGCTGTTGGTATCCCTGGGAGGCCTGCTCTTTCTGCAGGGAAATAGAAGAGCAGTGGACTGAGGGAGGTGGGGGAGGTAGGACTTGGAGGAGTGGAGGGAGGGGAAAAAATACAGGTGGGATGTATTGAGATCCCTGGCAACAAGGAGAGGCATGGAAATGCCACAAGATCGAGGTTGCCTGGGTCCATTCCCAGCAATCTTTAACAAACAGCTGGTCAAGGTGAGCCAGTCATTCAGCCATCAGCTGCCTTTTAAAGGCAGAAAAAACAGCAAAAATTATACAATGGATGATTAGTCCCAAAGGACATGTTGTCATATACCCAATGGATGATATTGCCGAATATGTACACCACTGGGAAAACCTGGCTGTAGTAATTATTTTCTCAATAGTTGTGACCAAATGCCTGATAAGAAGCAATTCAATTGAAGAATGGGTAATATTAAGAAATGTTCTTAATATCCTCAACTGTGATCACAAGTGCAAGACTGATTCTTCTGGAATCAAGGTATTCTCTTGACTGTGGGTCTCTGCACAGGTAAAAACCATACTATATACTTCCACCATAGTGACACAGTAAATATTCCCATTCTAGAAGGAAGGAATGGGAGCAAAACCAAAACCTACAAGGGCAAGCACCAACCCTACAGCTCCCAGTCTGGGATCTGGGGTCTGTGACAGCATTATTTGACTCTAAAGGGCCTTGTCTGGCCTACCCATCCAAGTCAGCTACCTGTAGCATATAGAGCTTCTCTTTCAGGTCAGATCCACTCTATGGCTGCAGATTGCCTCCCTGGAAAATCCCAACGTTCGTTCAAAGTCCAGCATCTCCAACATTCTAGGGTCCCCGTGGTGCCTTGACTTTTTCACCTTCATAGCTTCATAGCAGACTCTCAAGTCCTCTTTGTAGGGGCTCTGACCCTGCACCCATCAGATGGCCCCAGAGGCTCTCCGAACCCTTGGTACCAGACTGCAAAAGACTCCACAACCCCGTGCATCTTACATCATTAATGTCTCCAAAATCAATACCATGAGAATGATGCTGCCAACTTCTAATGCCAGCTCAAAATGTAGCCTGGCCCACATTGCATCACAGCTGCAAAAGCCTCTCTGTGCCTTTTCCACCTTGGAAAAACACTTCCCTGGGTGGTCTTTAACCCCCCTGTATTCTCTGCATTCCTGTGAGCGCTCTGGCTTCCAAGTTGCCATCAGATGCTTCCACTAAGATCGGCTCGCAGCATCCTAGGGCTTTTCTAGTCTGAAGTTCCAAACACTTCCACATTCCTCCTGCAAACCAACTTCAAGTATTTGAGAACCACATGGTCAGGCAGACGACAACAATGGCCCCACTGTCCCATACCGATTTTCTGTATCACTTTTCTCATTGCTCTGACCTACTGCTTATAAAGAATCAAGTTAAAGGAGGAGGGTTTACTTTGTCTTGCAGCTTAGGAAAGGCCACCGTCCATTACTGCTGGGGAAGTTTGGCATCAGCAGTATGAGGCAGAGATCCCATTACCACTGAAGTCAGGAAGCATGCATCACAGATAAATGAAGCCAGACTAAAGGCTCAAGACCCGTCTTCAGTGACCCTCTTCTTTCCTCAAGACCTGTCTTCTAAAGGTCCCATCACCTTCCAAAACAGGGTCACCAGTGGGGGCCAAGTGCTCAAACATACAAGCCTACGGTGGACATTTCACATTCAAACCACAACGCTACTGAATTCCGAATAAATTCCAAAATCAGTGGCAGTGTTGTGCCCAGTGGATTCCTTCATTTTGGTAATCAGATTTTAGTTCTAGTTAACGCAAACTTCAGAGGAAACACACTGGAGTGAGCACAAAACTTTGGCAATATTTTTGTAACTCTTCTGTCAGTCTAAATCACTTTAAAGTTAAAAAATATTAAAACAATAGAGCTTTTTGTTTAGTTTTTAGTTGGCCAACTGTCCAGACATTTCAAAGATTTTGCTGACGGCATTATAGATAAATGAGTGTTTCCCTATTCTAGTAAGAGGAAGAGACGGCTACAAGCCTTACAACCTTGCAGAGCTGGTCAAACTCATAAAGAAGTTCTGTCTATGTGTTGCTTTTATTAGTTAATAAAGAAGCTGCTTTCAGCCAATGGCTTAACAGAGTAAATCCAGACTAAAAGAGATATAGAGAGAGAGTAGGCAGAGTCGGGGAGAAGTCATGTAGCCACCAGAGAAGAAAAACACAAGCCATAAACTGGAAACTTTGCCAGTAGGCCATAGCCTCGTGGTGATCACAGATTAATGGAGATGGGTAAGTTTAGGATGTAAGAGCTAGTTAGAAATATGCTTAAGTGATTGGCTATGCAGTGTTTTAATTAATACAGTTTTGTGTAATTATTCCGGGTCTGAGCAGCTGGGAATGAGCAAACAGCCTCAGCTTACAAGAGTTTGTCTTTGCTTCCATGATTCCGTTCCTGGTACTTGAGCCTGTATGTGTTCAATTATAAACTGGCATAGGAAAACTACTGACAGAAGGCTTACAAAATGTGGAAACAGCCCAAAGGGCCAATAACAAGGAAATCAGTAGGTACATTTTCATGTTATTTATTTTGTTTTTTTTTGTTGTTGTTGTTGTTTTTTTTTTGTTGTTTTTTTTTTTTTTTTTTTTTTTGGTTTTTCGAGACAGGGTTTCTCTGTGGCTTTGGAGCCTGTCCTGGAACTAGCTCTGTAGACCAGGCTGGTCTCGAACTCACAGAGATCCGCCTGCCTCTGCCTCCCGAGTGCTGGGATTAAAGGCGTGC